TCTCGGATGCTACCAGGATTTTTTAAAAACAAAATAATTTCCATGCCTGAGGATGACTGAATGAACAGTTTAAAGTACTTGCATATTAAAAAAAAAGACCTTATACAGCTCATGATTATTAAAAACAAGGATCATAACATTCATCGATTGATTTATAGGCTAATGAAACTTTAAAATTTTGTTTACGAAAGGATTTCGACATTTTATATCATTAATTTTACTAATCTACTTTTTGTATGAATGATTCATTGTAATATATATATATATATATATAATTTATTCGAAAATTATAACATAAATATTCGAATAAATTATATTTGCTCTAGTCTGTATTGAGCACTCTTTTAAGAATAGTATTTTTGGTTATTGGAATATATTCCGTATACACCAATCCTATACTTGGACATATATTAGTAAACCATAAAATCGAAAATTATCTCATATGGGGTATAAACCTATTTCGACCGACGAAAACTTCGTCAGTCTTATTCAACCCCGGTATATAGACTCTTTATGTATATATAAAGTCTATATACCGGGGTTGAATAAGACTGACAAAGTTTTCGTCGGTCGAAATAGGTTTATACCCCATATGAGATAATTTTCGATTTTATTTTGTATCACTATTTATTTGCTCTGTATAATAAATATATTGAGCGCTTTTTGTGGATCAGTTTTAATATTTTATAACACTAGGATCCACTTGGATTATATACCAACGGATTTATTACCTTTAATATATATATGTATATATAATTTTAATAAATATAGTATATAATTAGTTTTATTTTTTTTTTACTGGGATCAGTGGGATATATCCCGCAATCAGATACACTCTAACTACAAAGATAAAAATCCTAAAAAAAAGCTCGTAAGTATTCTACACTGACCTAGTAAAAACATAAAACTAATTATATACTATACTAAATGTAATACAACCAACTTAATCATCCGCAATAACTCTTCTCCGTCAACCAACATTCTATCTCAATTTAAATGTCTTTTGGAGATTGCATCTCTGACAATATATATATATATATATATATATATATATATATATATATATATATATATATATATATATATTGTCAGAGATGCAATATCCGGCCTTCAGGTGGTTGGAATGTCGCTCACCGGGGTAGACTGTTCTAGTTCCCCGTGCCATGTTTAACGAAGTCATTTATCTCCTGTTAATTTCCCTCTCAAATTTCTCCACCGCCTTAACCAGGTACTGAAATCCCACTCTTTGGGTCCTGTCACTGGATCTAACTAACGCCTTTATCCACTGTGCCATGTGCCCTTGTAGACATCTGTGTGAATTTTTGGGTATTATAAAACTAATGTCTTCAGCAACCGTTTTTACCAGCGCTCATATTACAATGATAACACCAAAAATTGCAATATGAGCACTGGTAAGAAAAAAAAGACTATCAGTGATTGGGAGTGAATCTTGAAAATAATTTTGCAATTTTACCAGATAATGCCCACTGGAAAATCACGTATTAATTACTTTCTTACACTATTGTTCATCGAATGCAAGACCCGAGAGCCAGTCAAGGTAGAGCATTACTGAATGAGGTTGTTTTATGGACATATGAAAAAGGAAGTCAATGCAGATTATGGTATATGCTGGAGAGATTACAGTTGATCTTAGACTTTTGTTTTAATTTAATCAATTCAACCCAAGCAAGGCGATAATGCTACTAAGATCCAAGTGTCAACTAGGAATGAAAGAGAATAGGAACAAATTATAAGAAACCGGAAACACAATTCTAAACAAGAAACAAGGGATAATCCTCTAGTCTTGTCCAAAAGAGCAGGGAGGAGTGTGAACCTAGCGATCAGAGAAACCATCCCGGGTGTCTGTTCCACAAACCAGCAGCTTTTGGAATGGAATCCGAATGCCCTCACCAGAAGATTATACATGGAAATACTGATAAAGTAACGACAAGCTTGCAACATTTTGTCTGCGAGAAAGGGGCTCTAGGGTGGAAATAATTGATTCATCACCTACAAGGCCGCGGAGACGCTTTTGAATAATTTCAAGGTCGGAAAAAGATAATTGGGTAGCTCCAGCCCGCATAAGACAGCACTACACCATTTTTGGTCTGTTCTGAATCTTGTAAAGCGAGAACGTGATAGATGGCCATTTTTCCAGCATCTTTAGCGATGGGTGGTATAAATGACTTCCACTAGAGATTTGACGTAAGCTTGTGTTCCAAATAATCAATAACTAACCAAAACATACCTCGTTAACGATTAAATCCTACCGAGGCCTTCTAATAACTTTGAAGCTATTATTTTACTCCACTTAGTCTAGTAATGAACGTATCTGTAAATATAAGGCACTCGGTGAGGATCGAACTGGTTACTCAGTAATATTGGTTAATAGTGAAACATGCCTTTCAGAAACTAAGCAAAGTATTAGGTTATTCGGAAAATAATGTCCGATTTTAGAATAAATGTTTTGTGTTCTAATATATTATTATAATAGTTGCACAAAAATATATTATTTCTACTGATTAAAGTGTCTTAGTTATACCAGTCTCTTTCAAAACATTATATACCCTTCATCTTGAACATGAAAAATGAAAAGATGATTTCATGCTTGGACATAATGCTTCTCAAACTGCTGCCAATGTTAACAGAGCATGGCGGAAAGGATCCACGTGATTGGATAGTATAGCGCTAATTTCTGAAATTCCTAAGTGGGGATATGAGTCTTGAAGATCAAAGTGGTAGACTATTTTGTCTGCAATTGACAATCAACATCTGTAAGGATTAGTTGAGACAATCCCATATCAAAGTATCAGGACAATGTCTCAGATAATGGGTGTCACTATTTCTACAATATCGGACCATCTCAAGAGAATTGGCAAGGGGAAGTAACTCGATAAATGGATCCACATGAACTCAGTGAAAGTCAAAGTATCCGAAGTCTTGAAGAGTGTTTGATGTTTCATCTGCCAAATTCGAATGATCCATTTCTTGATCGATGAGTGACGTGTGATTGATAAATAGATGCTTTATGACAATCGTAAATAATCGGCTCAGTAGCTTGATCAGGACGAAGCGATCAAACACTGTCCCAAACGGAATTTGTAACAACAGAAGATTACGGTGACTGGTGATCCGCCATTAGCCTGCCATTACAGTTTTCTTGAATCGAATCAGAACGTCACTGTTGAAGTTTACTGCTTTCAACTAGAGGAAAAGCAACATATGACAGGTTTGATTCTGCTTCATGACAATGTTCTGTCATATATTGCCAGGATGCTGAAGCTCACCAACTTTGGATATAGATTTTTTCTCCTAATGTATCGCCTGCTGACAACAACTGTTTCAAGCATCTTGACAATTTCTTTAAGCCAAAAGACATTCCGTTGCAAGGAAGATGCAGATTTCAAAGATTTCTTGGCGTTTTGGTGTTCAAAACTTTAGAGGATTATCGTAAAGTCATAAATAACCTTGTAACTCGATGACAGAAATGTATAGATTTTCAAGGCTCCTATGTTAACCGATCTAATCACTGTAAATACATTAATCTATCTTCTATCTAAAGAAATTCTGTCTGCCCGCCTAACTGAAACCTAACTCGGGCCACACTTACTGTAAATAGACATACCTTTTTGGAATCAGGATGATCCCGGGATTGAATATCTTCCCTTGACCTAGTGCTTGAACATCCGGCATTAGAATGTGTGTCTGGATAAAGAGGGAACAGTTAAAAATTCAAATTTTTAAATAACTGAAAAAATTAGTGATTTTAAAAGTTTTTTCGTTTATGTTGTATCACAAAAACTTTTAATTTAAAAATTGTTTTAAATTCAGTTTAAAATATATCCAAAACTTTGTAAATTGAGGAAATCAATTTTATTTCTTCAAAATGTCAAGGAATCAGAGTTAAAGTGAGAGGTTTCGTAACATAAGGTTTTGAAGTTCCATAGAGTTTGTGATTTGAAGAACTCAATTTTCAGCCTGAATTGGAATTTCGAACCAAATCGAACTTTCGGCCGAAATTGGACTTATAGCCCGAATCAGAATTAAGTTTAGGTTTTGAAGTTCCATGGAGTTAATTATATATCCGATAACAAAGTTGCAATATGAACTCTGGTAAAGACATGCAATGATAACAGCAAAATTGCAATATGAGCACTGGTAAAAATGATGCTGAAAACATTAGGTTTATAATACTCAGAAGTTCATACCCAGTTGTCCTCAAGGACACATGGCACAGTGGATAAAGGCGTTGGTTAGATCCAGTGACAGGCCCAAAGAAGGTGAGTTCAATACCTGGTTAAGGCTGTGGAGAACTTTCAGAGGAGATAACTGACATCCATCAAACATGGCACGTGGAACTAGAACAGTCTACTCCAGTGATCGAAATTCAGTTCGAAATTCCAACCACCTGAAGAAGACCGGACAAATATGGCGACAAAGCGGACAAATAGTCCGACTAATGTAAATATGTACATAATACCTCATCTCAGAAATATAGACAGACTCTGAAGGACAGAGTGCAACTGAAATATTATTAAGAGGTGTTCGGTCTCGGGAAAAAAATACCGATGCCAGTGCAAACGACAGCGGCTGGACCTGGCCCGGGTGTACCCGCTCGGTCTCCCCGCATTAAACTGACCGTGTGTCACATCCTGCCAGCGTGGGGCGGCAAGAAAATACAATCGTTTCTCGGCTTTTTGGTTAAGATCAAAGTGTAGTATCTGTTATGAATCAGCTTAATCTGATTCTATTTGGCCACTTCTATCTTCGCTTCTATGTTTCTTTTTTTTCAGTGAAACCAAGAAGCTGATAATTTAAAACAGTGGCATCTGTCTAACATATACGTTACGATCCAAAAGAAAAATACATACAATTTCACCCACTTTAAATGATCAGAGGGGTAAAGGAGTAATGTCTAAATGTTTCTTTCGTCATAGTCCTTTCTTGAGTTCCTTTCACTTTTGTTTTGTTTTCTCTTCCTACCTTTCATTCATCACACGTTATTTTCCCTTCCCACTTCTCTCTTGTTTTTCAAATTCTGTTCTCGTGAGAAAATGAACAGATGGAACAGAAAGAAAAGAGAAAGAAAGAAAGATATAGAAAAAGTATGAGATAGCAGTAAAATGAAAAAGAAGAAAGAAAGAAAGAGATGAAAAAGAAAAAATGATGGAGCAAGACTGAGAGTGCAATAAAATGAAGAAGAAAAAGAAAGAAAGAAAGAAAGAAAGAGTGAGAGATAGATAGAAACCGTAAGATGAAGAAACAAAAAGAAAGAGTGGGGAGAAAGTAAAAAACAAAGCTAGGGTAATAGTGAGAGAGAGAGAAAGCAATAAAATGAAAAAGAAAGAAAGAGATGAAAAATAAAGAAAGTGAGAAAGACAAAAGTCAAAGAAAGAAAGTAAGAGTGTAAAGAAGGAGAGGAAAGAGATGAAAGAAGGAAAAAAATTATGCAAATATAAAAGGAAAGAGACTGAGAGGAATAAATGGGCATTTGGAGTTAAATCGTCAGACAAAAGCGGAAAACAAAAACACAAAAAAATAATGATCGCAGTAAGATGTCAAAAAAGAGTAAAAAGAATTATCAATGACCGAAAAAAAAGAGAAGAATAGAAAAAAAGGAAAAAAAAACGAATGAAAAATAAATATCATCAAAATAATAGCTACAAGAAAAGAAAAGGAGAAAAAACAAGAAAGAAAAAAAAAACAGAAATATAGAATGAATAACTGATTGAAATCAGCCGACAAAATGCAAGACGAAAAAAAAAACAAAAAAAAACTTGAAATGGTTCTGGAAAACAAGATGAGAGCCGGGGGAAAAAAATAGATCAACAAATAAATGATTGTGTATCGATATGAAGAATGTTTGTCTCTCATTGTTGCTATCTCCACAATTATTATTCCAGATCCAACAGAAAACCTTTTTAATACATTCGCCCTGGAGGATCATATCTTATACAAGCAACGCACAAAAGACACAAGACAAATCAAAGGCTGGGAAAAATAAAAAGTAAAAGCAGAAAAATTATTTACTGATTGATATTATTACAGTACATCATACTCATTATTTCCACAGCGCGGACAAACAGTTAACCAGACTATCACCAGCGCCCGACATTACCCATAATTTCCTTCGTTTTGCTGGCATTGAAGGTAAAGAAAAATCGACGAGTCGAGTTCTAATTCCGAATGAGTTTGGTGTTTTTGCTTTGCATTCATTCCCTTATAAAAAGGCACGGGTCCATTTCTCTTCACTCCTGTTACGGATTAAATGAAATCCTAAACTGGGCTCTATAGCAAGGCCGGCGCGTCTTACGTCCGAAACTCCCGACCTAAGATTGATGTTTTTTTTTGTTTTTTTGGGGGGGGCGTTGTGGCCTCTGCCATTTTTTTCAGCACTGTTTTATGGTCATCAGCCATTTTTTAAAAAATTATTTTAAAACTGCCGTTACATTGTCAAACATTAACTAATAATATAAATCGTGTATCTGCACGGGTGGTGCAGGCTGTACTACGCAGAAACCCCTGATGAGGTTGGAGCTCCAAAAAGGCTAGTTTCAACAAAGTTTTTTGGCTTTTTACTTTTTTTCTACCCAAGTTAGATTGTCCGTCATCAACTATAATAATTGACAGGGCCGGTGCTTACTACACCTAACCTCTCAACCGCGTGGGGAAATTCTAGTTTCAGTAGCGCTTATTTTTTAAAATTGTAATTTTCTTTTTGAACAGTTCTTTTCAATCAAAGACAGATGGCACAGTGGATAAAGGCGTTAGTTAGATCCAGTGACAAGATCCAAAGAGTGTGAGTTCAATACCTGGTTAAGGCGGTGGAGACTTGGAGAGGTGAATTAACAGGAGATTAACTGATATCCATTAGACATGGCACGTAGAACTAGAACAGTTTATCCCAGCGTGCGAAATAAACATTCCAATCACTTGAAGAAGGCCGGAGCGTACAACAGCCGAAACGTTGTGATAAATATGGCAACAAGGATGAAGACAATAGTCCGAATAATGTAAGTAGTGTACATAATACCTCATCTCAGAAATATAGACAGATACTCAATTTATGCATTTATTTAGCTGTGAATGAATCGTACAGTGTAACCCGGATATAAGAGAGTTGTCGGGACCAGAGAAGAAGTCTCTTATATCCAGGTTTCTCTTATATCCGGGTTTGGTCTATTTTATATACATTAACACAGGCTCTAATTTGGGACCAGAGAAAATCTCTCTTATATCCGGGTTACACTGTATTAGAGAAAACATTTCTTTAATATTTTTAGTGCAAATGCATGATAGGACCAGGTGAGACGCTAGTAAGAAACGCTAAATTATACCATGTATCAATGTAAATTGCTGATTGTAAAACGTTTACGGAAAAGTTCTACCCCTAGCTTAAAAGTAACCCTAAAAATCCCTAATTCACCCTAATTTTTCCGTCAAATGATCAGCAAAACAGTAAATACATCAAGTCCTGCCAATCATTAGCACCTTTTTTTTTTGTTTATTTTTTTAAATTATTATTATTATTAAGAAAACTCAGTTTGTCGGTGATATTTCTTCATGTTTTATATTGGAATCTTTTTAAAAACCTTTTGTTTTGTTTTGTTTTTTCAACGGAGATCGGCGATTAATCTTTATAGAAATATGAAAATTTACGACTTAAACATTTTTTTCGAGTAAAATTTAGTCATGAAAATATTGATGGTTATTACAAATAGAATAAGATTTCTCATATTTACTTTTCAATGGTCAAGTATCGATTTTCTAAGCGTAGCTTAGATGTGGCACAAGGCCGAAGGTATGGGGCACCCAGTGAGGATAGAACTCACTACTCAGTCGTAATTGTTCTAGCGAGACAAGCTTGCTAACCATTACGCCACGCCGAGGTACCCACCGTCCAATGGTCAAGTATGTTTTCATTTGTTCTTTAATTCGGTAGCTGCAGCCGCATAAGTCAGCCTCAGTTACCTCTTTGATATTTTTTTTACTACTTCATAAAGTCTCTACACTATTTACATCGTTTGGGCTGTTGTCCTCATCATTATTGCCATATTCACGACGTTTCGGTCGTTGAAGTCTCGGGTCTTCTTCAGGTGATATACGTTGAAATTTCGATCCGAACCTTTTATTTAGCTACTTCAACCAACGTTTTTATCCACTGGATCATGTGTTCTTAGATACAAGCTTTGGGTGAAGTAAACCAAAAAGTGATTTGATCCAAAGAGTTGGGAGTTCAATACCTCGCCACAGCAGAAGGAACAAAATCTTGGAGAGTTGAGTAACTAAAGGGATTTAACTGATACTGAAATATCAAAAAAAAAGGCATTGCATGTGGAATTAGAACAATCTAACTCCGTGGACTAATTGTTCGACTCGAAGTTCTAGCGTATATCACCTGAAGAAGCCCGGAGCGTACAACGACCAAAATGTCGTGAATACGGCAATAAAGATAAAAACAACATCCCGAACGATGTAAATAATGTAAATAGTTACAATACCTCATCTCAGAAATATATATTTTGAAGAAGGCCTGAGCGTACAACGGTCGGGACTTTGTGAATATGATAGTGAAGATGAAAACAACAGCCTGAACTATGTAAATAATGCAAATAGTTACAATACCTCATCTCAGAAATTTAGACAGATATCATGAAGTCAGTTTATGAACCAGTAACAAAAAGCAGCAAAAGACAGGAAATGGCGAAGAGCCATGAACGTCTATGTCCTGAAGGGACACGGCACATATAATCGGAATATGGACCAACTTTTACCAGACAATTTTGGTATGCTTTTGAATCTATATGTATAATTCTCAAAATGTGTATGTATATATGTATGTATATGTGTGTGATCGGGTTTTGTTTATACGTTTCCACAGTTTTCATCTGATTTCGATGAAATTTTTTGTTTGATACATAATACTTCAGTGCCGCTTTTGAGTCCAAATTATTGCCGACAATGGCTCTCCACTACTTCCTGTCCATTATAAGTCTCAGCAACCTTTTTACTATTTACTATCTGTTCTTGGATATATATCTTTCATAAAAAACTTTAATAAAATAAATAGTTTAAATTATTACAATAATAATATCTATATCTATAATTATCAAAGTTGTGTGTGTGTGTGCGTGATCGGATATTGTTTATGCGTTTCTACAGTTTTCATCCGAACGCTTCTGCGCGCAAGGCTGAAACTGCTGATCAAAGGACACCATGACTGAGGAGAAACGTGTCTACAACTGCTACTGCACGTGAGGCTAAAACAAGGTTGAGAACGCAAAAACGGCCCTTTTCAGGGCCACCCCTCTTGAAATTGTTACATCCCCCCCCATTTAGGGATGTGCTTCAGCTGCACCCAATATTGATTTTCGGGTGAGCTGTCTTTAAATTTAAACTGCTCCAAATGAACGGCAAAAATTCCCATTAATGAAACACCCGGTCGAAGACAGGTTATACTGCTAGTATTTACAATACAGGTGGGCAGTGGAAACATTTTACCATGTGAAAGTGGGTGATGTCGTAAAAAAGGTTGGGAAATCCTGCTCTAGATTAAAGCGAAAAGTATTACTGATTAAAGAGATAAAGGAGCTTTGAATAAATGCTACAATGAAAAAGCAAGAGTATATGAATAATTCATTAGACATTACTTAATTAGCTATAAACAACAGGCTTAATTAACAGCAAAGAAGCAAATCTGGTTTGAGATACGCCCACTAAGGTAAAGGTGAGGTGAAGATACGTGCAAGAATCTACCATGAACAAAAAGATGGATTCCAACCATAGCGTCAGGGGCGAAAATAGACGTTCTGCATTCACTATAGAAAGGAAGAACTACTAATAAAAGGGGTCAGTTGCTAAGTAAATACTTACAGACTGAAATAGAAACGGACAATATTTAGCTATTCCCGAACCGTGTAAATACTTATAGACTGAAATATAAGCGGACAATATTTAGCTATTCCCGAACCATGTAAATACTTATAGACTGAAATAGAAACGGACAATATTTAGCTATTCCCGAATCATGTAAATACTTATAGACTGAAATATAAACGGACAATATTTAGCTATACCCGAACCATGTAAATACTTATATACTCAAATATAATTGACAATATTTACCTATTCTTGAAATATTTATAATTTCAAACATAAACGACTCATACCTATTCGCGGACCTCTGAAGGCATGTTTGATAGCGGCTCGTATTTAAGAATCGGAGAGCTGAGTTCCAATTCCAATTGGGTTCGTTATATTCACTTACGGGCAAATACCCATGGCAAAATTATGAATGTATCTCTTCTCTACCCCAGACACCAGCACACATGAGATTTGATTATAGTGGTGAAGCTTTTGTGCATTACCAACCACATTTTTTGAAGGGCTGAATACAGAGACCTGATGTACTACGTGTCACAACATCCCCAAACGACCCTCTGCAGGTTTTGAATTTAGAATTGTCCTTCTCCTAGACCAGTTGCCATTCAAATATATAGAAACCAGTCTGCCTTGCTATTTGCCTATAGCTGGAGGGTATTACCCCGTAAGTGTAATGGATTCGACTGGAATTCGAACTCGGCTCTCCGATTCCTCAATCCAAGCCGCTATCTATTACTCCACTGTGCATATATAAAAAATTCGCTTGAAGATGAAATGGAATTAATGCTTTTAATTTAATTACAAAATTAAATTTGAAGTTTTTAGCTTCCATTTTTGAAACATGGTTATTATTGTGTAGCGAAAAAAAAATTTTAAAGCAGTTAATTTATAATATTTAAGCTCTGTAAATTTTCATTGAGCACTGTTTTGAAAAAAATAAAATAAGAACACCAGATTATATATCTTACTGTTCTTTCTTTCTTTATATATATATATATATATATATTACACAATGTGTGTGTTCATGCTTTAAAGCAAAGTTTGAATAGTGCCTTTAAACACAGATTTTTCTCTAACTCTGCTCAGTTTCATATCCTAACGTGAACAAAGCAATTTATAAAGAAAGGGAATGGCTTTCTTATTTATTATTACGACAGATTTGTATGACTTAAACGTTATTTTTTGTAGATACTCATATTTGAGTAGAGCTCCGTTTATTCATTAAACATTATATTTATTTATTTTCCTTTACTGGCCTGAATACGTATTCTAGAAATCTTATTAGAGAAAAATATGCACTCTCCGTCTTTTCGTCTTCCCAGTGTTTAAAAATAAAATAAATTTCTTGAATGATAATTAAGTTTTTCCTCGCTTTTTGATTTTTAGGAGACAACGCAGCTTAATCTATGTTAAAATCTAAATAAGTAATTAACATTTAACAATGATTACATAATAACCAGTCCCAACCTGAATACATGCACTTGAATCACACATGCTCTTAGTTTAAATCTAACTTCTAACGTCTCCGCCTACACTCCTAAAATGTATTTCCTATTTATTTATTGATTGAATTATTTATTTCAATAGGAGTAGATAGGTTTGTCTCTCGGCCTGTTCACACTCCTCCTAAGTCTTTTGAACAGGAGCAGAGGTTTATCCCTTGTTTCCAGTTTGGGGTTACGTTTCCGGTTCTTTCTAAAGTTTTCTAGTTTACTGTCACTCCCAGTAGCCCTTTGGGTCTTAGTGACATTATCGCCTTGCCTGGAGTGAAATGATTTTTAAAAAGCATCATATTTCTAGCTGTGGGCATACGGTGGCTGCTAACTGCATCAGAGCATGTGTTTTGAATGTACGCTATTTATTTGGGCGTAAAATCGATTGTCATGATTGTTTTTATCACCTATCTATATCTCTGAAATATCTATTATGATTAATCACATTATTCGGACTGTTATCCTCATCATCATTGCCATATTCACAACGTTTCGGTCGTTGTACCCTACGGCCTTCTTCAGGTGACTGGAATTTCGAACAATCCTTTATTTCGTCCACCGGGGTAGATTGTTCTAGTTCCACGTACCATGCCTCTTCCGGATGTCTCAGTTATTTCCCTTTAACTCAACTCTCCAAGTTTTGGTTTACCGCTGCCGTTGCCTAGTATTGAACTCGCAACTCTTTGGGTCTAGTCACTGGATCTAACCATTGTCTTTATCCACTGTGAACCAAAACTTGGATTGTTGAGGATAAGAGTCCGGATAATGTAAATAATACAAGTAATTGTTTTTATTATTATTATTATTATTATTGAGGAAAAATTGGGGGTATCGGGAAATGTTTGTGTTTGATTGAATGCTTTTGTTATCCTATGACAGTTATGCCTGTCCCCTCTCTCGATTGTTTGCACGACCGTTACACCTTGCCAATACCTCATAAATAATGAACTATTCCGTTTTGATCGCGTGGTAAGAGACTAATTGGTTTCATTGAGAGAAAGAAAGAAGTATTTAATGTCTGCCATCAATACATCATAAATAATGGCCAATTCAATCTTGATAGATAGAAAGGTAAAGAAGTAGAAAGAAAGAAGGAATTAATTATTTAATTAATTAAAAGTTGTCAATTTCAAATCTTTTCATTTGTACGCACTTCTTAAAATAACCACCAGCATTGATTGTTATTACAATATTTTATTAAAGTTGTTAAGCTCAGATATTTAACGATGTGATAAGGTAATTTCTACGGATATTTTATTTCGTAGAACTCGCTTTGAGTTTATTCAATCATTAAGTTTTTATTGTTATTGCATAGTTCATTTTATTGTTTATCATTTTTGAGTGTACTGGGAGACATTTGATTTGTGTTGGAGAAGGGTGTCTTAGCAAATTTTTGGGTTGTGTACTGAGCCAAAATCAAATACAATTTGAATATCTGGAAAGTGTTTTAACAGAGGACGGGAAATGCGACACTGAAATCAGAAGGTACGTTGGGATAGCGAAAGATGCCTTCCAAAAGCTAAGCAGAGTATTAAGAAATAGGAAAATTTCGTTAGATGCAAAGCATAGAGTAACGAACAGTTACTTAATATCAGTCCTCCTACATGGCAGTTAATGCTAGGCAATCTCCTCACAAATGAAGAGGAAGAAGCAAGGGAAACGTGGTTCTACAGAAAGATTCTCCGAATAGCATGAACCGAATATTTACAGAAGTCTTAGTGAAAATGGAAACAAAAATGACGCTTATACTTAACATCAGAAAGAGTTGAAATTTCTAGGAAGCATAATGAGGAAAGGGGGCTTAGAAAATTCTGAAGGTAATAGGGAGAAGGAAAAAGAATACATGGCCTGCCTAGGGAGCTTGAGTAAATGGATGGCGGGACTAATATTTAGGGGAGGTAACAAAAACATGGATTATTTTATTAAGCGCTACAAAAGAGAGAACATTTTGAAGAGCTGTGATCGCCAACGTCCTGAAGGGACACGGCACATAAAAGAAAAAAAAGAAGAAAAAGTATTATTAAAAAAACACCTTTAAGGTGCGTCGTCAGTGTTGTGGCTCCCATGTCACTAGAAGTTTCGGGTTTAAATAAACAACAGACTTCTTCGGTGGGCGACCCGACCGAATATGATCAGTATTCGGCCCGCACCCAGAATAAAATTTGCTACTAGCTTTAGGACGTGCATGATATAAGTTCCCCTACAGAAAACAACAACTAAATCAAGACTTCACTTGGGCTATTCGATGTTATAGATCGGGTATGCTTTGTTGTACTGATCTTCCTACATGCGGCCAAGACAGGGTGTTTTTTAGTTTTCTTTGGAAGAAGAAAAGAAAATAAACCTATATATATATATATATATATATATATATATATATATATATATATATATATATATATACATTAATAAAATAAAAAACGATTTATTATATTGGCCCGTCTTAAAAAGAAAAAGAAGAAATAGAAGAAATATTAAAGTCAAGAGGGAGAGAGAAAACCACATTATCTATATAACGATGTTAATGGTTTGCAGAACAGGGATTAAGAAAAATGACTAAAACAAAATTTTCTAAGTGCTACAAAAAATCTGACATTTTGGAGACTTTTTTTTGTTTTTTTTGCATTTTGTCATTTAGTTATCCGCCATTAATCTGACATATAGAGTTCGGAACTGACTTTTGTATCATATTTCATTTAGTTTTTAATTTTAAAAAAAGTTCTATAGTTTTTAACAAGAATAATGTCTCTTCCAAATACTATATAAATCACAACAACAAAAATTTAGCTTGTTAATTGATTACTTCGTTTTTACGGTTTATCATCCCTTTACAAGTTATTTAAAGCCAGAAAATATTTTTGTTTTTTTTTGCGGGGGTGTTTTTTGGGGGTGGCGGATAATGATTTAGTGATATAAATCTTATTAATTAACACATAGCTGCGAGGGAGAAGGAGTGGATTGATACTTTTCCCAAGGGGATTTGCGCCTAAGTGAATATAACCAACCCAACTGAAATTAGAACTCTGATCTCCGATTAACAATTCAGGGCCATTATTCATTACACCACCCACACATTCAAGCTTATAGTACCTGATATTCGAAAGCGTTTTTTTAGGGGATAATAATGATTTATTAATTCAAGAGCTATTAATTAACCCATAGCTGAGAGGAGAAGAGGAGGTGGGTAGATCCCTTTTCCCAAGGGTATTCAACATCTAAACTTTATAATCTATTACAATTTTGGCCTCATAATTATCTCAGGGTTTACTGATTGATTTGTTTTTTTAAGACTTATCAACCTATTTAACGTCAGATATTTTAGTAAGATTTTTTTTTACAATAATAATGATCTACTAATACAAGTCCTACTAATTAACCCATAACTAAAGGGAGAAAAGGTAAATTCATACCTTTCCCAATCTTATTTGAATATAAGTGAATATAACGAACCGAACATGGAATCGGAACTCTGCTCTTCGAGTCATTATCCATTACACCAACCGCGCACCCAAGTTAACAGCACCTGGTATTCCCAAGCGGTCACCCAGCTACCTATTGACCAGGCTCGACGTTGCTTAACTGCGATGATCGTACGGGAAGCGGTGTTTCCACGTGATATGGCCGTACGTTTTTAAAGACAATAGAAACTCCTTGGACACTTATACGTAAGATCAGGAAGGGATATTTGAAATTTCTAAAGCTGATAATGAGGAAAGAGGGATTGGAAAATTTGATACTCACAGGACATATTGAAGGCAGGAGGGAGAAGGGAAAAGAATGTACAACCTACCTAGCGAGCTTGAGTAAAATTTAGGGGAGATAACAAAAACACACACTTTATTAAGCGCTACAAAAGAGAGGAAATTTTGAAAATTTGTGATCACCAACGTCCTGAAAGAACACGGCACACAGAAGAAGAAAAGAAGAGAAAAAAGAATGAAAAAAGAGAAAAAGAAGAAAAAAGAAGGAAGAAGAAAAAGGAGAAAGAAGAATAAAAAAAAAAAAAAGAAAAAAAAAGAAAGAAGAAAAGGGAGAAAAAAGAAAGAAGTATAAAAAAGAAAAAGGAGAAAAGAAAAAGACAGAAAAGATGAAAAAAGAAAAAGAAGAAAATAAAAAGAAAATGAAAAAGACAAAAAAGAAGAAAAAAGAAGAAAAGAAAAAAAAAGACAGAAAAGAAAAAAATGTGAAAAAAAAGGAAAATGAGAGAAAAGAAAAAGAAGAAAAAAGACAGAAAAAGAAAAGAAAAAGAAGAAAAAAGAAAACGAAGAAAAAAGAAAGAAAGAAGAAAAGAGAAGAGCATGATGGAATTAAAGGTGAAAGTTCAAATATTCAATGTTGCAATGAAAGTGTTAACTATTTCTTATTAAATGTTCCAGTTCTGCAAAACTTGTCAAGATATCAACATTTCTTATCTCCAAACTTAATTTAGATTCGCCGGTTCTTGTCTTCGAATTCAAATTCTGTTTTTCTATTCGCTGTGTGTATGAATCATTTCTGGTGATACTTCGTGGTCACTCGTGTATTAGATTAATAGCCTTGTTAACCTCATCCGATGCACCTGAGGGCAATTTTATCATTTTCCACCTTGACGCGGGCCATGAAATCTCTCAAGATAACAAGAAAATCATAAATGCTCTTTCGTTAATACAACATCATATGACGACATTTTCTTCATAAAGAGTTCTTATTAGTATTAGATCCCTCGGGGAACTTTCGTGGGAGGAGATGTAGGGAACCTAAGATTAACATTAATGTTAATCTTGGGTACTAGATTAACAGTGAGTCACCTAACAGAATTCTGGAGATATGTAGGAAATTCAGTCGTCCAGGGTTTTTTTTATATTAAAAATCATTAAAAATTGTTTGGCTTTTTTATATTGAAAACATGGGTATGTCTGTTAAATAATTTGTATTTAAAAACATATATCTATATATATGAATTCAAAAGCGTTAAAAGTATTTAAAATAGTCTTTAGTTGGGTTAACGTCTTTGAGTAGTTGGTTCACAGAATAAAGCTGTGGTTGAAAACAGACTTGTATCGTTAGCAAAAATTCACTGACCGTCTTTGTTGTTGGAAATGATTCGTGTGAAGTCGCTAAACTGGTGGTCAGCGAAAATTCACTGATCGTCTTTGTTTTTAGAGGTGATTCGTTTGAAGTTGCCCACCGGCCTTCTTCAGGTGGTTGGAATGTCGAACTGAACCCTTTATTTCACTCACTGGGGTAGACTGTTCTAGTTCCACGTACCATGTTTAATGGATGTCAGTTATCAGTTATCTCCTGTTAATTTTCCACTGTTCTCCACTGCTTTAGCCGGGTATTGAACTCACACTCTTTAGGTCCTGTCACTGGATCTAACTAACGCCTTTATCCATTGTGCCATGTGCCCTTGAGGACATGGCATATCTGTATATAAATTTCTGGCTATTATAAACCTAATGTCTTCAGCAACCATTTTTTACCAGTACTCATATTGCAAATTTTGCTGTTATCAACTATGTTTTTACCAGAGCTCATATTGCAATTTTTGTTGTTGTTATCGCTTTTCTCTGGCACTCCTTATTACTGGTTCCCATATTGTATTCATTTCTATGCTTGAGCGACTCAGGAGATTTTTGTAACCTAGCATATGTGCTGATTCCTTAAGTTTACAATTTTCCAATGATGTTCTTTGTCTATGATCTCAATCTGATCCCAAAGAGGGCGGTGATCTCCCTTCTCTCTATATATGTGGTCAGCCATGCCTGATTTTTCCACCCCCCCTCGAGTTACAGATTTCTGGTGTTCTTGAAGCCTTACCTTAAAGGGGAAGCCTGTCTCCCCTTTATATTTCTTTCCGCAGCTGCACTGGATAGCATACACACAGTCTTTATTCACGTTCTCCTCTGGGGGGGGTCTTATTCGGGTGGGATATCTGCGAAGTGTCGTCAAGTTTTTGAAGGTTGTCCTGATGTTATCTGGACCGCAGATCCTTTGTATTTTCTCTGATAACCCCTTCACATAAGGCAAGCAGACTGTTTTCTGAGTGTTGTTGTCCAGTAGTCCAAATAATGTAAATAATGTACATAATACCTCATCTCATAAATATAGACAGATACAAACATTAGGCGATCGGCGGCGATTCCTTTGAGGTCGTTGGTAACAAGCGCATCCTTCTGAAGCAAGTGCGTCAAATGATTTGTTTATGTTGATTTTATTTTAATTTTATTTGATGCTTGAAAACTAAAATGGAGCGATCTGATTGGTTTTCTTCTACATCCGTACGGAACTGATTCGGTGAAACCGATTTTGAAATTCACAACATTGAAGGAGGGGGGGACGTTATTTCTTCAAGGAGGATATGTGTGAGTAGCCAAGAAAGAAACGTTAGCAAATAATTAAGCTGAACATTAAGTCAGGAAACAGATAAACGCGTTCTTCATTTTTTTAATCATTTCACAAATATTTTGGGGAAAAATATATTTCTATGATAGTCTCGATTTAGTATTATATTTTAATTATAATATCCTTCAGTTATCGATGAATAAATGGTTATTTTTTTTAATTTTAATAATTAGATGAATTTTAGTAGAATTTTAAAATACGAGTGCATTTTTACACAGAAGGTTATCAGTATCTGTCTATATTTCTGAGATGAGGTATTATGTACACTATTTACATTATTCGGATTATTGTCCTCATCTTTGTCGCCATATTTATTACAACGTTTCGGCCTTTCAGTATCTGTCTATATTTCTGAGATGAGGTAATATGTACACTATTTACATTGTTCGGACTATCGTCCTCATCTTTGTTGCCATATTTATCACAACGTTTCGGCCATTGTACGCTCTGGCCTTCTTCAGGTGGTTGGAATGTCGAACTGAACCCTTTATTTCGCTCGCTAGGGTAGACTGTTCTAGTTCCACATGCTTGTCTCCTTGGGTCCTGTGCCATGTGTCTTAAATATAATGGTTAGCAAGCTTGTCTCGCTAGAACAATTACGACTGAGTAGTAATGAGTTCAATCCTCACTGGGTGCCCCATACTTTCGGCCTTGTGCCACATCTAAGGTAGCTGAAAAAATCATTTTTGGCACCTTGGCGTAGTGTAATGGTTAGCAAGATTGTCTCGCTAGAATAATTACGACTGAGTAGTGAGTTCGATCCTCATTGGGTGCCCAATACTTTCGGCCTTGTGTCACATCTAAGCTAGTTTAGAAAATCACTACTTTCGACCTTGTGCCGCATCTAACCTACGCCTGGAAAATTACTAGTTAAGACTTCCGGGCTTATTTCCATCAACTGTGATTTTTTGTTTTTTTAGAGTTATCTCCCTTGATTCAACCTTAGTCGATTTGGTTCGCTCCGAACTTTTTCAAGTTATTTTTCTAAATTATAGCAAATTTGATTAGTTACTCTTTTTTTTTTTTTCCTTTTGGATAGTCTCAAGTGAACTTTCATCCTTGATCTATTTTGGACAAACATAAATTATTTAAGAAATGCATCTAAAAGAAATCCTCAAACGGATTCAAGAAGAGGGAGGAAAAAAGAAGCCACTTTAGAAATTGTCCGGAAGTCTTTTTATCCAAAGTTGCAACGAAATATTTACTTAAATATGAAGATATCCATAGGTAAGTATTGAACGTTTCCCATATTTATTTTGAGATAACAAACGTAAACTCATAACGCTTTATTTTCAAGGAAAGAAAAATTTAGGAACCTTTTCAAAACTATTAACTCCGACTAAAATTCGTCATTTGTAGTCTAGCCATGTTGTTGGAATAATTAATTAAATAATTAGCAGTCATGTTCAAATATCGACGCCAGAGGCGAGGAAGAATTATCAATTCGGCACAGTTGCCATAATGTGGCCAGTTGACCAACCATTAAAGATTTTCTTGAAAAGGAAATTCCTTCTATGTTCGCCCTATGATTTTTCAACATCCTCTTCGTGGAAATATAATTTAAAAAAATTATAAGCAAATTTTGGGAATATATTAGAATTAAAAATAACCTTCAGAAGCTTAGTGGCCTTTATACAGAATGGTACCACTCCAAGAAAAAAAGTTTTTTTTTACAATTTTACCTTTTTCCTATTAATATCAATTAAGCTTTCCACATCACGAATAAATAATTTTCTCAATTTTAAGAAGAGGGTCAGTTTGCTCTGTAAATTCATTACCAAAAAATTATGGCAAGTAAGTAATGTTTATAATAATGGTAATTATAATAATAAGAAGCAAAGGTAATTAAGAACAGGGCCACTGCGTACTAGTCCCGAACCCATCGACTAGTGGATGCCAAAGCCTAATTGAGGGCCCCCGACAGTGCTTTGTCACCTTTCCTATCTTATCAACATTTGGTTTTTTTTCTGCCTACATTTATATACATTAAACTAAGCACATTAATTATTAAGGGATGGCATTTCATAAAATTTTTATATAATTTTGTAATTAGACATTATGAACTTTCATGAGATATTTATATCATGGGTGTAGTGTAGGTCCCTTGTGAATATGCGGTATTGTGGCATATGCATGATTGATAGGTGATGGTTTAGTTCTTGTGGTAAATGGATCAATTGTATTGGATGAATGGGTGATGATTCGGATTAACTTGGACTAAGATAGCGAAGACCAACTTTTCCCCACTTACCCTTTGGCCTTGTGCCACATTTATTGTATTTTTACAATAATAAATATATTTAGAGATGACAAATTTTCACAGATTTCGACATCTTTCTGGAATCATTTTTCCCTTCAAATCCATGAATTTGTTTTGTTCGTGCTTAGTCTGTAAAAAAAAAACAAAAAAAAACAACTATGTAAAATTAATTATTTCTTTATCTATAATGTTCAATGTGTTAAGTAAGATTCTTCAATAGTTTAAGAAGAAAAATCTCAAAATGACTTTAAAAATTGCTGAAAAACATTGATTTATTTAAGATGGAATTATTATTATGTGTTATTTTTAATTTGAATTTAGATACATTGTATTTATTTTCAATTTTTCTTATTGACACTATTTACATTATTCGGACTATTGTCCTCATCTTTGTTGCCATATTTATCACAACGCTCCAGCCTTCTTCAGGTGATTGGAATATCGAACTGAACCCTTTATTTCACTCACTGGGGTAGACTGTTCTAGTTCCACATGCCATGTCTAATGGATGTTAGTTTCAGTTATCTTCTGCTTAATTCCCCTCTCCAAGTTCTCCACCGCCTTTTCGTTTTCTTGTTGAATTCTTCACCTATATTGCATATGATCCATCATTGTACATATTTAGGTAGGTACCTCCACGAGATCGCTAAAAAAAGAGCATAGCATGATGAAAAAGACGCCAAACTTGACGAAAACAAAATTTTCATCGTCTCAATGTTTATGCTATTATTAAGAGGAAAGATAAAGCTTTATTTTTTTTTTTTTTTTTTTTTTTTTTGAATTATTTTTAAATTTTTTCCTTCTTTTTAGAACATTCTAAATTTTGATTTAAAAAAAAAAAAAAACCTTGTTTCTATTTGTTTTGTATCACCGGAACTAGTAAAATAACATACAATTTTTAGCTTTTTTTTTTTTTTTTTTTTTTTTTTTCTGTATGACACACATTAATTTGGACGTTGTGAATATGACAATGGAGATGAAAGCAACAGTCCGAACGATGTAAATAATGCAAATAGTTACAATACCTCATCTCAAAAATTTGTATTTTATATTAATGCCACCTTATAAAAATTGAGTTGGAGTAGAGTGTAGCCTCGTATCATAGTTTTTTTTTGGGGGGAGGCCTGTGTCAACTCTTAGCAAGTTATTTAAAACCAGAAAATATTTTTAGATTGTAAGAATTCTTTTCTTGTAAATAATGTTTAACGATACAAGTCGAACTCAGAGGAGATGGAGTAGGAGGGAAGAGGTGGTTTCATGCCTTTCCCAGGCGTATTTGCGCAAAAGTGAATATAACAAACCCAACTGGAATTGGAACTCGGCTGTCCGAATAACAAAATCCGAACCATGAACCACTCACACATCTAAGCTTACAGCACCAGGTATTCCCAAGTGGTCACCCATCTACGTACTGACCAGGCTCGACGTTGCTTAACTTCGGTGATCGGACATGCAGCGGTGTTTTCAACGTTGCACATTGTATTTATTTTCAATTTTTTTGTTGAATTGTTCACCTATATTACTTATGATCTGTTATTGTATATAATTAGGTTACAATAAAATGTGTATTTTATATGGATGCTACCTCATGAAAATTGAATTATAGCAGAGGTCGGAGGCCCCTGTTATCCTAGATTCGTGGGTGGGACACGAAACCCTTGCAGTGCTTTAAATTCATATTTCGTAGTTGAGTTGTATTGAAATCATTTATTTTCCGCGCATTGTAATTTACATTTTGACATTTAAATTTAACGTCGGCAAACTATTTCTTCACTCAAGAAAATTAAGATGAATAAAGGTGTTTTTAATTTAATAGAAATTAAAGAAGAAATAATATTAAACAAGATATAAATCCGTGGCGAGTTGATGCCAAAAATGATAAAAAATATTTGCTTCTTTGAGCTTAATTTCACGTGGAATTTGTGGAGTAATAATCCATCATATCACGATTTGTTGATACGTAGATTACTTTGAATTTTGAGTTGCAATCTTTACCATATCGCCTCCAATCGATTTGAGGTTGGGATACAAAAGGATAATAATGCTCATTTTAAAAGTAAATAACTCTTGTATTTTTTTTTTTTTTACGTGACTTTGACGTGAGGCCTGTCTTCAAACGTTCCCCCACCCCGTCGTATTTATGTCTTCTATTATTTCTTGTCCTCATCTTTATTGCAATATTCACGACGTTTCGGTCGTTGTACGCACCGACCGTCCTTCTTCAGGTGATATAACGTTGGAATTTCGAACCGAACATTTTATTTACTCCACGACGAGTAGATTGTTCTAATTCCACATGCCATGCTAATTCCTTTTAGTAACTCAATTCTCCAAGTGTTTGTTCCCTCTGCTGTGGCCAGGTATTGAACTCGTAACTCGAGTCAAGTCACTCTTTTGGGTTATTCAACCAAAGCTTTTATCCAATGGATCATGTGTCCTTGCCAACAAAGCGTTTTCTTTAAATATTTTTCACTGTCATTTTCAACTGAACTTTCCCCTTTCCGGTCTGTCCTGCAATTGGCTATAATTCAGAGAAGGTTTTCATACTTTTTCCAAAGGTTTTTGCACTCAATCCGCGCCGCTATATATATATATATATATATATATATATATATATATATATATATGGTAAATCTGCTTTTTAAGCCCCGCGCTAAATATCAAAATTTTCAAAAATCGTCATATTTCCGTGTAAATGTACATGATGAACTCGAATTAACAATTAAATTTTGATTAAAAAAAAACCTCCCGTTTTAGAGTTATCGACAATAAAAGTTTGGACTCAGTCGCGAAGGAGCATTTCCTGCCAGGAAGGAGCATTTCGTTTTATTTTGTAAATAATCAAAGTTCGTGCAAACTTTGCGCATTAATTATTATTTGTTTTATTTTTAATTTAAAAGAAAAGCTTTATTTTATTATTTAATTTTTTTTTTAATTTAAAAAAAAGATTTACTATAAAAAAAACAAAAAAAACAACAACAGTTGCAAAAAACAACGCTTGTCATCGCTTTCCGACATGACTTAAGTGCGCAATAATTTAGACGAGTATGATCAGTTCAGTGAAAAGGCTCTTAATTAAACCTCCGCGCGCAAAATGTTCCGCAATAATGTAGTTAAACAAGGCCAGTAATGGCCGACGGCTGAACGCGACTGAGTCCGAATGAGTCTGAGTCGAGAACTCCAAAACGGTTAGTTTTATCAAAATTTAATTGTTATTTCGAGTTCTGCATATACATTTACACGGAAATATGACGATTTGGGAAAATTTTAATAGATATTTAGCGGGGGATTAAAAAGTAAATTTACCACATATATATAAGGTACCTCCACTAGGTCGCGTAAAAAACAGCATATCACGATGATGAAAGCCCCATAACTCAACAAAAACAAAATGTTGTCATCAAAATGTTTGTTGTTATTAAGAGGAAAGACCAAAGTATTTTTTTTATTATTTTTTTTTAAATATTTTACTCCTTTCTAAAATGTAGAAAAAAAAATTTTTTTACGACAGCGCAGTAAAAGTGAAAAAAGGTTTGTTTTATTTTGCGCTTTTCCCGAGGAAAACACACGTTGATTTGAAATTTTTTGCAAAAATCGAATAATTGTCAGATTTTAATGAAACTTTCAGGAAATATTCAGAAATGAATGAAATTATTTTTGAAATTTTTTTTCGAAAATCTTGTTGAAAAGATATATTTTTTTAACATGTTTCCACCCCCTTAGATATTTTCATGAAATTTCGAGAAATTAAATCTTTAACCATGCGATTTGTTTTATTAGTACCCTGAAGATCCGTTTAGGTGAAACCTAGGTAGGTTTACCTGGCTCATTAGGATTATCTTATCTTTTATATAACTTCACACTTAAAATCCTAATCCTTGGTTTCATACCGACTAGAATTGAATCAAATTTGTAGCGATGTGAAGAAACCTTTTTGAAACTCCCGCGTAAATTGGTGGGGAGGGTAATTGGGAACATAGCGTTCCCATGTCCCCCGTTTGAAGTAAGCCTGTGTGATAGGTTGGCTGAGAAAATCCATCTTCGTATTCCGATGTTACTCGTCGGGTTAGGGGAGGGTTGAAAGTAATAATCTTTGCCTACGCCGTTTTATTAATGCTGGTTGAGATAGAAGCCAGCATTCAGCTATGACGATTGCAATAACGCACGCAGAGTTAAAAAGTGTCTTTCGTTTAAAAACTTTCAAGAACAAAAGCAAAACGAAATGCGGGAAAAGTTGAGAATGACATTAGAAGAGAAAGAATCATCATGCAACAGCGATTAAGAAATCATCGTTACAATGTTTTGCATACGTGATATATTTAATTTAATGAATATAATTTATTTCTTTTTCCTTAAAATCAGTTCCGTTATATTTCACTCACCATTAGCTTATTTTGTTTACTTTAAAACATTGAAAATAAATGTTCTTTTATTTTAATCTAAATATAAACCCTCATATCCAGACTTTGTAACCAATTCTTCATATCCAAAAAGGCCGCCTTAGTTCGGTTGCCGGGGATTCTACTGCAAATCTTTTTTAAAATATAAAATACAATATCTAAAAAAAAAAAAAAATTATCACATAACCAGAGGCTAAAGCTACGGAAATTTTTGGCAAAGTACCAGAAACTAAATATAAGTTTTTCTTACTCAAAAAAAAGAAAAAATTCAAAATAACTGTAGTTGTGTTGCGATCAGTAAAGTGCTTGAGAGAAAACGGACTGCTGGAATTTTTCGTTTTTTTCCGGCGTGTAAACATTACATGCCGGAAGAAACGAAAAATTTACAAACTGTCTACCCCAGTGAGCGAAATAAAGGGTTCAGTTCGACATTCCAACCACCTAAAGAAGGCCGGAGCGTATAACGGCCAAAATGTTGTAATAAATATGGCGACAAAGATGAGGATAATAGTCCGAATAATGTAAATAGTGTACATAATACTTCATCTCAGAAATATAGACAGATATTGAAGGGTGATGAAGACAATAGTCCGAATAATGTAAATACTGAAAATTAGTGTGTACTATATGCTAAGTACTTTCTATTCTGAATTTCATAGCCCAAAATTAGAGACAGAAAAACTTCGTCAGAAACAAAATGAACTGTTACGTCATATCTTTCCACCTACATGGCAGTGAATGCTGGACAATCTCCTTGCAGATGAAGAAGAGAGTTGAAGAAAATGGAAATAAAAAGGAAACTTATACTTAACATCAGGAAGAGACAGTTTGAAATTTCTGGGCCACATAATGAGAAAGGAGGGCTTAGAAAATCTGATCCTCACAGGACAGATTGAGGGTAAGAGGGACAGAGGAAAACAGCACATAACATAGTTGATGAGCTTAAGTAAATGGATGGCAGAACAGGATCTAGAAAAAATAACAAAAAGACAAAATTTATTGAGAGCTACAAAGGGCAGGAAGTTGTGGAGAGCCATGATCGTCTACGTCCTGAGGGAACGCAGCACGTAAAGACCTTGTGGAGTCTAGAGAAAATTTGAAAATCTGTATATTACACTTGTAGTAGTTGTTGTAAATAAAATAATAATAAAAAATAAAATAAAACAATAACATAAAAACGTTGTATAAAATAAATAAAAATTAAAAATAATAAAAAATACTCCCAGCATGCAATAAAAACTGTTCCTGGAGGAAATACGGACATTCCACTAAGGCGTTAAGTTCAATCTCTTCGTCACAAACCTTAGTACGGGCAACATGTGTCCAACTTATCTCTGTGATATGTCTTGTAATAATACGGAGTAAACGTCTCCCTTTCATCGCATGTACCATAAGGTAAATGTAACCTAAATAATCCACACAAAAAATATAAATAAATTGTATGAAAGTAACATACGATTTACGATGCCTTTCTTGTAACAGAGCAACCTCGGTTCTTGAACGTCTTGCATGTCGAATAAATCGGTTTTCGAACAGAATATTCGAAAAAAATATCTCTGTTTTCGAACAACAATGCCGAACCAAATTAACCCGAACGTATCATTTCTGAGCCGACCGCCATGTTCCATACATTCGTGTGTTGTGCTGTGCTTTTCTTTTCCAATTTTTTTTCTCTTTATTAGTCCTTAGTCATGGATAAAAAGAAAGCTAGGAGTGATATTGATAAAGGAACATGAAAAGTTAAGAGAAAAACAATTGTTGGTGATATTATCTCTTCCTACTTAGTATGGCAAATCAAATGTTCTTATAAAGAGACGATCATGTCTTTCCTTTCCCATTCCAAACAATAGCATCTCTTTCCTTTCCTTCCACATGATTTTTCACATTAAAAGAAGAAAGAAAATCACCATATTGATACATATTTTTTTTAATCCTATCTAAGCTTTCGGCTTACATAAGCCATTATCAAAGATGACAATTACATTACAATATGTTAACCAATACACAGACAAAACAATAATGATAGTCTGTTTTTGTTTGCATGGAAGATTTCCAAACAACGACAAACT